TTTAATCCGATTTCTTTTTCAGGTAACTCCAGAAAAACCCTTCCACAGTGTGGGTGATAACCACCCTTATACTTCTAACAACACTCAAGATCACTGTATTCATAATCAATCTCCCCCTTTGATTCCTATTATTCTTCCTACCTCGACTTTCAACTTCCTGCTTCTACTTGCTCCTCAAGCCTCACTATGGCCAACAATTCTAGTGCGCAAAACACTGTCCCAGGTCTACGGAAACCTCGCTTCAAACTACATATTGTAGCTTTCAAAGTACGCAACCTATGCCAAATCGGCCAACAGGCTTCCTTGGCTAAAACTCCAGAATCTCGTACCGTTGATGTGTGCTGTGTCTCCGAAACATACATACAGGATCCTAGTGTAGTCATCTGGTTGCGCCTCACTGGACGCAAAAAGCCACACTAAAAAGACCCTTTAGAATGGAATTGAGTAATGAGGAACCCAAAAGTAGGTTCCAGGAACAACTGAGGTCACAATTAGGTAGTTCTGAAAACGAGGCTGACCAAGATGTTGCCTGGAAAGATATACAAACAGCTGTGGAAACGGCAGTGACATCTGTTAGTGATTTTAACCAAAGGGGTACCAAAAACCATTGGATTTCTTCTAAGGCTATTGCACTGATGGATTCTCGTAAACTCATCCCATCAGGCTCTGAACACGATGAAGAGCGAAAGCAAATCAGATCTAGGTTAACCAAAAGTCTACGGAACAGTCGTGAGCAGTGGTGGGTAACGAAAGCAAAAGAGATGGAAAAGACAACGGCTGTAGGTAACACCAGACAGCTTATCAGAATAATAAAATAAACCGGAATTAAGGGGTTTAGTGTAAGTGAGACAATCACAGAAAAAATGGCACTCTTATGTTCTCTCAGTCTAGACGTTTAGAACGATGAGCGGAACATTTTAAGGAGCAGTTCAGCTGGCCTTCAGCTACTCTACAACTACCTACCATTCCCAGACAGCGTGAATGGAACATGGAAGTAGGTCCGCAGACTATAACTGAAGTTCAAAAAGGTATAGCTAATCTGAAACGAGGAGGGGCAGCTGGTCCAGATGGATTGGCTCCAGATGTCTTTAAGGATTTTGGTCTAGTTTTGGCGATTAGGTTAACTAATATTTCATAAAATCTGAGTTAGACGTGATCTCATCTGATTGGTCGCAATCACTGATTGTCATCCTGTGGTAGCCATAGAGGCACTATTTTGATAACATAGCATCTAAAATACTAGCTTCAATATTTATCGGGTGCCTAACAAAGACTTGTGAACTGCAAACACGAGAGAATCAGGCTGGCTGCATCGACCACATATTCACCATTCATCAGGTTCTAGAACACAGGCATGCTTATCGGAGTCCGGCAATGGTGGTCTTTCTTGACCTAAAAGCAGAATTCGACTCTGTAGACCGAGAGGTTCTATGGCAGTGTCTGTCATCGAAAGGCGTACCTCAGAAGTACGTAAATCTTGTGAAGGCTCTTTACTCGAACACTACTAGTCGAGTCAGAGCTTATGACGAACTGTCATCTGATTTTGCAACCTCAAGTGGTGTCCGACAAGGCTGTCCACTTTCTCCACTTTTGTTTAACTTCATTATAAACTTACTGATGGAAATAACGCTCTCGTCGACTGAATTCTCGGGCATTGATCTCCTACCAGGAGGTCCACTTATCGACTTAGAATATGCAGATGATATGATCCTGTTTGGTGAAGACTAAAATGCAGTCTTTTGATAGCACTGAGCAACAATGCCAGAATGTTAGGGATGCCCTTCCCCCCTTTCTAGTTGCAAATCGTTGCTTTAGAACTGACTTGCGTCAACACCTGAACTTCACGGCTGCAGAACGTGGCCATTAAGAGTAGAAGATACTCATAAGTTACTAGTATTTGATCACAGATGTCCTAGAAATATTGCCAGCATCTGCTGGGATCACTGGATAAATAATAGTGATGTTAGACGGAAGATACTAGGGAATGATGGTAATTTAGTTGGTGAGGTTGTGAATTTACATCGACTGAGATGGTTGGGTGACGTATTGCACATGTCCAACTACCGACTACCACGACGTGCAAAGCTGACTAGTGTTGAAGGCAGATTGGAAAAAGTTAGTGGCGGCCAAACGACGTTATATATGTCAAATCTTTAGAATAATCTAAGTCCCGAAAATAATCCAGGCGAGTTATATATGGCTCAACATCGATTACCACGAAGCGCAATGCTGACTAGTGTTGAAGGAAGATTGGAGAAAGTTATGGGGAGCCAAACGAAAAAGTGGCATCAGTCATTGAAGTCGCTAACTTCTCGTCTTAGCCATGTTGGTAGATGCATACTGCTTGGTTGGAGTCCACATGACTGTCGTAACCAATGGTTGGAGACTCTGGGTGATATGGTCCAGAATCTATCACAATGGCGTCGATGCATACACTCTTTGTCTTTCTTTAAACCATAAGATTAAAATCGCTTTATATCCTTCGTTCTATGAACTGTTTCTTTCTTTCTGTACTATGTTATTATACACAGTCTTTCTTTCATATATTACTACAATTGAAGTGACTACTTCTATGAATTTGATGCTTATTTTGTTGTGCTAAAGAGGTGTGGCAACTTGGGCTGATGCATGTATGTGTCTGGTCCTACGTTGTAGATGACTGACCGAGAGAGATACGAACCAATTGTAACGTAGAGCACATGTATATCTGTCTTAGCTCTCATAATCAATCCTTATGTAGAAGTAAAATATCAAAACGATGAACAGTGCAAAAGTGAAAACAGTAAACATGAGGTTGGGAGTAAATTAAAAATTCTCCTCAAAAGGGACTGATAAACTGAAGCAATGAAGAAAATATAATTGTCATAGCAAAGTAAAAATTAAACCTGTTTGTCAAATCCTGAATTCGTTGGAATGCAAGTGGCCTACGAAATCTGAATCGTCCGACCATTTATTTTGTGGAGTTATTTTTGTATATAAACATGTTCTTTTGCTGTAGAAAGACCTTGTTTTGCTAGTTTGTTGTATTGTCTTTAATCTCAGTCCATCCAGAGGTCCAGTGTCTTGAACCCTGATTGCTCATTCACAATTGTATCATGGAATGTTATATGTTGGCTGTTAGATTAGAAAGTTCCATCAAGGTGAGAGGAAATCGGATTGAGAAACGATGTCTTTTTGTCACCTCCGAGTATGCAACGACAGATTACAGCCCGGATGCAATCAAGGATGAATTTTACCACCAGTCAACTGTTCTTCGGTGGGTTGATACCCAGTTTTGAACGTGGTTCGGTTTCATATTTGATTGAAACAGAAGCTGCAACCAATTTGCTGACATCGATTCGTTTAGGACAATGAATTTTTTGGCCACTAAATATAAGATTAGCGCAAACAAGGACATGATCAGGGTCCAGATAGGTACTGCAAAAGGAGCACCAGTCTTGTACACAACCACGCCTGCGGTAGCTGATCGCGATGTGATATATCTGAGTTCAGGTTTGAGCTTCAGAGAGATTATATCAGGTAGCAAATCGGCGATTACTATACCTATGGTTAGTGATAACCAGAAATAGGCTGTAGTTTGTGCAAAGTTGTAGTAGACAGTCGTCCTTACCCGACCTGTGCATTCAAGTCTCCAGCATGTACTACAATGTCTTTCAAATGCACTTCTTGTAGAAGAACAGTTAACTAGTGCTAAAACTCATCCTTAATCGCATCCATGTTGCAATCTGTCAAAGCGTAAGCGTTGATGAAAAGACATCGTTTCGCACAGATTTCTTTACACTTTGATGGAGCTTTTTAGTCTAACAGCACATAACTGACTGTTAATGGTGATACAGTTGATCAGTGCTGCTTCAGCTCTAGCACTCAATGCAATGCCGACGCCTGCAAAACGAAACAAAGATGCCTCGGCGTCCTCGGATAATTGCACGCAAAAAACAGATAGAGAACCAATTTGTAGTACTTCATTAGAGTCAAAAATATGAATATCATATAGACAATAAACGTCGACATTAAGACTTTCTAATGACGTCGCCAACCCCATTTGTTCTACGATCTGCATTAGTGTATGAATGTTGGAGACCAGTTTGAATTGCATACGTGCTTTCAGAAAAATGGCTGAGTATTCATATCTGTCGGTAGAATTCAACGTCCGATTAGTCCGTGACTTGAGATCGTTTAGATTTGACAAGGTTTTCGCCATAGGCGAGCTATTGTAGGAGTTGAAAAATAAAGGAGCATACAGAATAGAAATAAAGGAATAGTTAAGTGACGCAATATAAAACAAAAACGGATACTACAAAATTGTTTTGAGCATGGTTTGTGAGAATGAGAATTAAAGCGTGAGTGGTTTTCCTAGTTTTAGTGATCATTTTTTTGTGTGGTCTGGTATACTTCTTGGGAGCCCAAGCCGAGGCAGGTGGTTTTCTTAGAGACCAACTCGAGCCTTGGACTTAGAGGTCTAATCTATGAGTCTATAGATCAACGTTAGGAGATTCAGTTCCATGGTAGCCGGTGACCAACACCAGATTCATGCTTCATTTGTTTCCTTAGGATCCTGGAGCCCGTGTGTATCATTGGTTTGGGACCAGGGCTTTCCAACTTCCGTAGCCACCAGCTTTGGTTAAGCACCGGTCATCTGCTTTTCGTTTTGATTTTTAAACTATGCCACCGCTTCGAGTAGGACTTTGACAGTGTCCGTCTACGCGTGGGCATATGGAAACATTTCTAGATTGAGGGCGGACTCCCTACCCTCGGCCGTACCAAGGCGTTTGTGAGTTACCTTTATTATTCTTGGATTCGCCTTTATGGTTTTATCTCGTGCTAATGGCATATGTCTACTTGTATCGATTTCTACGTTGCATTTGACCGAATCACATTTTCGTTTTAATTTCCATGAACATCAAATTAATGTTGCCGAATAGCAGTTATTGTTTGTATACCACGAACGATATTCGTAAAATTTTATTTTTTAATTCATTTTATAATTTTTCTTAATACAGATTCCCTGGATCAGATGGACCTGGAATACCTACAGGTCACGGTACTCAGGGAGGAGGAGGATCAGCCTATGGATCTCAAAATGACGCAGAAGATTTATACAACTAAACGATTGTCACAACATTTTACTTTTCAGTTTATTGAAAACTTTAGGCTCAAGCTATCCTGTGTCATCAATTTTCACCTACTTATGCTTCTGGTTTGAATTCTAATTATCAGTTATGTGACGTCTGACTGATTAATTTTTTCTATCCCCAAACTGTTCCCTTTGTAATTCAGACAGAATTTGTACCTGGCATATTTCCATACATTTATTTCATGTTATTACTTCTCATTCTACTTAGTTATGTCTACAATACGCAATATTTCCTTTTACTCTTCGAACATTCGAGATGGGGCTTTTACACATTCATGTCTCAAGTAGTTACAAGTGACATGTCTTTTAAATAAGTATTTTGTAATAGGGTCGATCCAAGTGGTATTTTGGGTTCCAATTCTATAAACTGTAGATCAAATTTTAACATTGCACTAAAAGATAAATCTAAGCTCTTTTTTATAAGTAAATAATTACAATAAAGAACAGGAAAATTTGAAGTCGATATTACCTGTGTTTCACTTCAAAATGGCTATTAAGATTTAAAAGAAGAGAAATTGAATATATCGACTCTAACTTTATAGTGATCCTGGAAAGTAGTAGATAACTTCCATTTTAGGGTGTGTATTACTAATGTGATTTCAGACGACCTTCATTCTTACACTTAGTAACGTTACGAGCCTATAAATCTCATGAACTCAAGTCTTATCCAACAAACTGTTGCATGAACTTTAATCATATGTCGATTCCTGAGCTGCTAAATTCTAACTACCGATCACTAATTAATAAGATGAACTATCTTCAACTCCTGATGATGTGGGTACATATGTGACTCGTAAACGTGCTCGGATCACTGTATAAGTCCTGTTTTACTTAAAGTATATGGGAAGAGTGCACTCTTAAATCGGATCAAGAAATATAGAAGAAAATATTCAAAATCTGAAAATCATCGTACGACTAACTAGGAATTATTTACAGATGGCTCACTGGAAAACATTACTGATGTTATCACTTGTCGCACTAAAGCAATTTTATTAGAGTTTATATTGACTTACATCTCTAAAACTAGAAGGACTACAGAGGGTAAAAGAAAGAATATACAAGGAGAAAAACCGAAAATGTAGAGAATGTGGCAATAAGAATGTGAGATTTAGACCCATAGCAGTAACTTTACCTTCTCTCAAAATGGAAAAATTGTTGTTACTCCCACTTCAACCTGCATTAAAAGAGCACATTGATCCGTATTAGTTTGCTTACAAATGCTAAAGAAGCACCTTATATATTGTTGTTCTGCATCACAATAGTGTTCATCTCGGAAATGTCTAGGAAGGACGTTCGATGCGCTTTTCTGAATTTTACTCCTGCTTTTGATTCTATCTCAAGGCGCTAGTACTGACGGCTGGAAAACCAACTGGCTATGTACCTACCTCTGGAATAGCAGTACACCGCACTTGGAGTAAAGTGCTCAGTGTCTCTACTGTCTCATGAAGGTGTGCCACAAGGGGCTGTTCTTTCATCTCTTCTGCGTGATCTGCCATCTTCCACAGAAAACACTGAATTATGCGGATGGGTTCACTGTATGTATGCCGATTTCTGCCTCTTTACATTCCAAAGAAATGAACGGGTTTTTGTCTCGTATTGAGTGGTGGTATGTTGTTAATGGTCTCATACTTAGTCCGTCTATTTTTTTCTGTATTTTGTAAAGAAACTTGTTGAAATACCTCGTGCTGAGAGTTATATATTGTATTAAAATATAATATTGAATAAAGCCATTAATAATAATATTTACTTACATATTACAATCTCCCTTCAGTTTATGTCTCCGTGCTTGCTTGGGAATGCCGTTCACGTAATATTTTACGGCCAGAATAGTTGAGAAGTAATTCATATTAGCATGTTTCCGGATCTTGATGTACTAAGAATTTGTCTTCTTCACTACACACAAACCTGACTATTTCCAGGTGTGCATTCTGACAAGAAATCTGGTCATTTAAAAAGTATTTCACGCGTAACCAGCAACTTTGATGTTTTTTGATAATCGTGATAATCAAAATGTCTTCTCTCTCAATTTATATATTACCGGGGTACCTGATACTTTTTCTCATCATAAGGATATAATAATCTTATCATACTATCGTTAGATTATCTGAGTAAATATTTGGCGGTTTCTGAAATGTGGCTGGATATTATCCATATAAATATATCCGCAAAAGTGATTCGCTCACTTGTAGAACTATCCCTAGTATCAACAAGGTAGTATGTTGCATCACAATTGCCACATCCTACCTGTAAGTCAGATGATAGTACAACATCAACTGAAAAGTAACCTAAACCACAGTTCGGTTATCGACTAAGTCTGTATACCGTTGAGACTCTATGTACACGTCATCAATGTTCAAAAATACTTGATGTAAGCAAACTACATAAACATAGTTTATTGAGACCAGATGTCTCCAGATTCTATGAATACTGTCTAATTTAATGTACACAAGACATGACTGAAGATTGTTTGTAAGGACTTACTTTCTCCTCAGGAATTGATTAACAAATGACTTCGGCCATAGTCAAATATATGTTTAGTAGTATTGTGAAGCTATAATAATAGATATGACCACATATTTTCAGCATAGGTTTGTGAAAGTCGTTGAGTTTTAATTCAGATCATGAACCGAATAATGTTATACCACCAGTGCAAATCTGGGAGCACTGGTCGGCCGTTTCGTCCCGATGTGGGACCCCTCAACAATGCGCATCGACGATCCTACAAGTGGGGTTCGAACCCAGGACCTTCGGTCTCGCGGGTGAACAGTTAGTCTCTAGACCGTTGATCCGGCATCCAACAGTGATAGAGTCTAACTTAAACCAATCCATGATAATGTGCGACCACTTTTCTGCTCTAACATTGATTAGTGCATAATCTCAAGTAAAACTCAACAATCTCCACAAACCCATACTGATTGCTATCATGTGCTCACTCGTGACTAGCTTCGAGAGGTAATTCTCGGAGTTTTAGTGAGAAGCCGTGACCAATGGGTGTGAACGTGTCGGGTGTGAGGCAGTTACCCACCGACAATGGTCGCGCAATATCGTAGACTGGTTGAAGTTAGACGTTAACACTGTTGGATGTCGGCTCAATGGTCTATAGGTTAATTGTTTACTTGCGAGATAGGAGGTTCTGGGTTCGGACCCTGCATGCGAAATTGTGGACAAACAATACGGAGGAGTCAGGTTTCAATTTAACTCACTGGTAGTAGTAGTAGTCTGTTTCCTTCTAAAAGAATTTTAAGCATGTTTTCTTGTATATCAAATACTGTACGTGTCATTTTGTTAAAAAGGACAATTTATTTACTAGCGATTCTATATTTTGATATTCATTCATTGGAAAATTTGTCGTAGATTTATTCAGTACCTAGCAGTAATTATCATTTGGCCGAGTATTACATCAGTTCAGGGGATCGATCACACATGTTTGGCTATAAACACACTTCATCTTTTATCTATGACAAGGTGCTGCATCAATAAACCATGACCTCAAATTGAAGTTCAAGTCAGCTCATAAATCGACTGTCAAGTTCAGCTATCATTCCTAGTAGTAAGGTGCAGCAATTAATACTGTTACACGCCTATGTAATTAGTACCAACCTTTGGATAGATAAATTTTTCTTATCTTCCTACTTATTATGTCACCCATATGTTTGCGCTTGTCAATTATTAACATGTAACCTTGATCATGTTTTATACATGTGTTCATGATAGTATGTATGCGTTTATCACCAATATCACCGACCTTCAATGCTTTGTACATTGGCTGAATGTTTTATTTCTAATCTCATTTTCAATATAACTGTCTGAAATTACGTTTTTTTAGATACAATTCGTAATCTACTTTTGATATACCGTTATTTTAAACGTGTTGATTCGACAGGAGATATACTAAGTCATTTAGGATATATACATCATTATCGTAGATAATTGAAGTCAAATAACGGTCGCTCGAGAGATGTAAGTAATCCAATGACACCTTAATACAAAACTTGAAGGTTATAGATTTTACCCCCGGTAGGGTTTATTACGATCACGAATACTGAGTCTTCAAACTAGGACGAAACACCTAGCTACTGTTCGTTTATAGCTCTTCAGCTGATGTAAACCAATGATTAGAACTTTCCTCAAATATATACTAAACAATGAATGAATCATCTTCTCTAGTCCATTAGGAATTCACTAGTCTCAAAATCTGTTATTAAAAATGTTATCTCTCCGTTCGTTTTTTTCAATGTAAAGTGATTCTTTTATTCATTGAAACCAGTTATAATGTAAATACAATAACTTCATTCTTCTAATATTTATTCAATTCATTGATTGCAATCATTTGAAAGAGGTAGATCAGTGATTTAGACCTCGCGAATAGTTATTGCTCAGTTAATTAATAGTAATAATAATAATATATTACAAATATCCATGCTATAGCTACTTAATTGTACAAATAACCAATTTTCGTCAACTCTATAATGACAGATAAATGTGATTGTAATTTTAAGAAAATACAATATCAAACAAAGAAAAGGTTTGCTTATATCCATTGTGCATCATCGTAGAAGTCTAAATCAATAACTTACATTGATCGGCAAACACTAGAAAATACGGAAAGTATGTAAAGGTTGATTGAACACCATTTTGATATTTGCTTATTTCTACAAAGAGGAAGAAAATTTCTTAAAATTGAAGTTTTTTAGTTACGTTAGGATTCATTTATATGAACGTATTAATTTAAAATTGATTCAGAAGACATATTGTTTTACTTTCGTTAATCAATCTGCTAACTGATGTTGATAAAAATGTACTTGTTCAGATATTTGTGTGGACTTATTATTGTTGAAAGGGTTTAGCTGATGTATGCTTAAAATTATTTGATAAAATGGTTAGATTATACTACATTGATGGCTTTAAAATTGTTGAAATTGACCAATCAGAATGAAGTTAGTGATTGATTAATATTTGAGCGGTTTTTGACATGAAGTTAGGGATAACACTCCTGGATATCATGTTTTTGGCGAGATTTCTCATTTTGCTTAGTTTGATTGGTCATATGTTCATAGATCACCAACAGAATGTTGAAAGGATCCATCTTCTGAAGCTGTAGTCAAGACATGACATGGAGAGAAACCATGGAGTTCCGTGATAAGTTTTTTTAGGTATAACAGTATCAGCTGGTACTCCGAGGAGTATTGT